TTTCCGGGAAAAATTGATAGTCGGTTTATATTTTCTCGGCTTATGTTTTGTCGGCTGAGTTGCCGTATCACAGTTTTTGCTCTGTAATCAGGTTTCGTAGTAATTGCAAGTGGTAATTAATATATTTGACTGGTTTATTTGCCGTTTTAATTTGGTTTTTCTTTTTGCTCAGAAATTTAATTCGGCCTGAATGATTTCGGCTCTTCTTTTGTCGGTTTAGTGAACTTATTTTGCTTCGTTATTAGGTTAAAAATGATTATTCATGTTTTAAATAAATCCGGTTGGCTGGTAGTATAAAAGTTCAAACTTGTTAATCTCACAAAATTTTTTATAAGAGTTTCCTTTTTTTTTATTTTGGTTTACTTGGCGACTAACCATAGGTTTTCGGCATAAAGAACGCTTTAAAAATTTAAAAGTTGGTTTAATATTAGTGTTGTCCGCGTTTCTCGTCTGTTTTTCAGAGATTGAATTTTGCGTATTTCAAATATGAATGTTGACTTTTTATGACAACCATTTACTTTGGCTTTTTTTTTCGGATCAATTGGCCTCTAGACGCGTGTCGTTGGCTCAGTGGATGCTTGGAAAATACTAAAAGCTTGCTTAATACAAGTGGTTGTATTTCTCGTCTGTTTTTCTGCGATCAAATTTTTCGTATTTCTTTTTTCTTCAGTATTTTTCCACACTTGCAATGGTACGCTTTCGTTGTATCGCAAGTGATGCGAAGCTCCGTTTTGCCTCTCTGTTAAAAAATTGTATTACTTGGCCTTTTTTTTATGAAATGAACGTTTTTTAAACAAGCTTTTTCGAATTAGCAACTTTTAATATTTTGTATCGGATTATTTGCCCTGTAATGTTTGTGTTGTATCGCATTGCAGATCACGTTGCCCGAAGTCAAAATCTAAAAACTTTTACTTGCAGTTTTTATTAAAATTTCGGTAAAACATTCTGTCAATTTTGATATTGAACTTCATCTTTTCTCTGGTGTAATGTTCCGACCCTTGAAAATGGACCAGGGCTGTGTATTCAGGTGTTTTAGTTTTTTTTTGATTTCCTTGCAAAATCAGGTTTGAGACTAATAGTTTGAATGGGATGAGTGGTATATCATGTTAACGCCTTTTCAGTCGTAATTTGAACGTTATTTTAAAATTCAAAGTTGTCCCAGTGGCAAGAAAAACCGAAGTTTTCTAAACAAAAATTAGTTGTGCACGCTTTAATTTGCGCTTCCGTGCCAATGAAAGTCTAAAAAAACTTATCATGCAAAGGAAAACTGATTAAAAAGTTTATTTTTGAATTATTTGTCATCTTTTCTTTTGTTGATTTTACTTGACAACTGTTGTCGATTATTCCTAATTTTTCCTACGCGTTTATAGTTTGTCATCTCACCACTACACCACGACACTAATTGAAAAAAAAAGAAAAAAGTTTTTTTTTATGTCGGTTATTATGCACAGCAAACTGCTATCCTTGTTCTTTTTGGTTATAGCCTTAATTCTATTTTGTCAGCAACCGGCTATCCTTGTTCTTTTTGGTTAAAGCGTTAATTCTATATTGTTTTTATAAATTTCCGTTATTCGATTTATCTAAAATAGTCTTTAAAGTTATATATGTTACGTTTTTCTTCCGTTGCTTTTTGGTCCGACCAGTTGAAGAGTGTAAAGAACAGATGGAGGGGGGTCCATTTTTTTTCAGTCAATATTGACTGTTTTAAGTAAAATTTGTACAAGGTCTAGAGAAGTATCATATTAAAGCACTTTGGTTGTAATTGGGATTCTAAAAAGTTATCATTTGTCCTTGTCTAGAAAAACTGGTTTGATTATTATTGATTAGACCAAGTTTAATCCTTTTTGAAGTTAATAATAATTAAGCTATTTTTTTTTCATTTTTGTAGTTTTTGACTTATTATTATCTTTGCGATAAGTAAGTGTATTCTAATCGGGGACTAGATTTTTCCCGTAATTAGCCTTGTTCGCAGAATGGTCAATTTTGTAGAAATGGTAAAAGACATGCTCAATTTCTTGAAAACTAAAGTGAAATAACATCATCTAGTTCAGGATTAGTACAGTTTTTTATTGGCCTACTTTGTAAAGCATGGTTTTATTTTTTTTTATTTTATGGACTGAATTTTTTTGCTAGAATTGAAAGTTCTGTAATTTGGCATTTTACCAAGCCCGATTTTGAATATATATATTTTTAAGTTCATAGGTTTTTTTGACTTAATAGTTTTGACTGATGCTGCATTGAATTAATCATCTGTTTTTGTGTATTTTTGACGGTCAAAAATTCATGTGTGAAAAATTCAGGTGTTATGAAAGCGTAAGGTATTGGGTTTTTATTTACTTTTATGAGACGCTTTCGAATTTTTAAAATAACTTTGCAAATAGTTTCCTTCAGTAGAACACTACTCTACCGAGTTTCAACAAAGGCGCATCAATGGAAATGTTCCCATTTTCTCTTGGTAGGGTGCCTGCATAATCCTTAAGTCGGTTTTTACTTAACCCTATTCATTAACCCTACTGTTTGCAGCCTTCGAAAAAGTCTATGGGGGAAAATTTGACCCATATTTGAGTTTTTTCGTTTTCATTCAAAAATGACCGCTCTCAAATCTGGGTTTTTGAATTTAATGAATAGAACGGTTTTGAATACTCCCCTTCATAACCGGCTACGCCCGAATTTTCTAACACATAAAGTTGTGGCCCTCGGAAAAGGCAAATTTTTGATTTTTTTCGACCGATTTTTGATTTTAATCGAAAACTACACTCGAATTCGGAGATTTTGGGCTCAATCGAAACCACAGTTTGTAGGAAGTGCTTCTGCCTAAGTGACTTTGCCCAAATAAATTTACACAAAAAATTATCATTCGCGAAAAAATCAAACTTTTCTAGAAAACTACTCTGCCAATTCATTCGTGAAGTGTTCCGGTTCTATTGAGAAAAAATTTAAGAATTTTCTCTGTTTAAGCTGCTCTGATCTTCTTATTGCAGAAAAAATTGTGGATTTCGGAAAGTCAAGTTTTTGAAGTTTGACCATTTTTTTAGAAACTTTTTGATATTCTGAGAAACTACCCTTTAAAATCCGAGATGAAGGGTTCAATCGAAATAAAACGGCTGTGAGAACTTTTCCTACAAAAATGGCGACTCCTTCTTTTTTTTGGTTTTAAAAATTTTTGTGTTGGAGAAGGTTGCAATTTCTCAAAAATTTCATTTTTCTCTTCTATTTTATTTTAAAAAAAGCTACGTTCAATTTGTGAAAATAACCATTTAGTCCCGCATCAGTATAAAAAATATCAAACCTCGAGTTTTAGCCGGGCCCAACCTATATTTAATAGAGGCATACGAACATTTTGGTTCACGTAGATTTTTTTTCGGCATAATTCAGGTTTTTACGACTTCGAATGTTTTTTTTATAATTGTGTCGTATCGCAAGTGGCGCAAAGCTCGGCTTTGCCCCTCTGTAAAAATTTAACAGCATGATAAATTGTTGAAATTTCGAAATATTTTGCAGTTTTTTGTTTGAAAGTTCATCTTTTTCAATTTTTTTCCCGAAATTATTGTCGTCGAATCATTGTGCTAATTGCTCAGCAATAGGATAACCTTGTTTAAAATAACATTTAACTCCTTTTTTCAAATAAGTTCAGTCTAGAAAATGTTTTTGAGCAGCAACCGTGATTTTTTTTTGGCCTGGAGAAAAAATCTTTCTCAAATAAAGGACGTGCATTCTGCTTGCCTCTGAATTTCAAGTAGTTAACCGGAAGTCATAGTTACGCTAATTAAGGATGGCTAATTTTTAAACATTTAGTTTTTTTGACACATGATGTCATTCGGAATTTGAATTTTAATGCAGGTGAAACTTCGAAAAGAATTTGGATGTAGGAGAATTGCGAAAAAAGCAAAACAAAGGTAGCAGGTTGTTGTGCAAGTAGTGAGAATTTAATGATCACAGTAGTCGCCACAAAAAAGGTGCAAATAAATTATATTCTTCGGGAAACCCTCGCGCAGAATCGTGTAGGAAGCTGTGTGAATCTACCTAGCATAAGCGTCTACGCCTATTTTTTTTACACAAAAGTCTGGCCCCTTCTAAAAGTCAAATGTTTAATTTTTTGGCCTTTTTTGGAATTTTTCTTACTATTAACGAAAACTCTCTCTCCAAATCTGAAACTTGTTCAATCGAAAGAACGGGCGGTAAAGCTCAACCTGGGCGGTAAAGCTCAAAAAAACTAGTACTTTTGTCAAAAACTAGCCTGTGAGTTTACAGATTGATGGTTCAGGCAAAATAACCGGTTGTGGGTTTCTTCGCCGCATACTCCGGTATGCCCTCTACCAATTCTGAGATGTAGCGTTCAGTCGAAGGAACCAATTGCAAAATTTTGCCCTCTGAAGCAGCGATTCCCTTATGCGTGAAAGAACATTTTATGTTCTTGGGAAAGTGGAATTTCTGAAGCAAAATTTTTCTGTTCATTAAAACTGTTGAAAATTGAGTTCAAGCGAAAAAACGGGTTATGGGAATTTTACCGGCATAAATGGCTCTGTTGTCACGGGATTGATCAAGAGAGCAGGTTGTGGGAAAAGTTCATTTCACTGCCGAATTTCATATTGAGTTCATATTGTAACAATATCCAACTTGTGCCTCCAGCTTTAGCTGGGCCCCTAGTTGTCTGAGCATCGAGAAAAACTGGTCTGCATTCTTGCTGCTCCGGCTGATTAACAGCGAGAAATTTGGTTGTAAAGACAAGCGCCATAGAATGGATATCATATCTTGTTACTATTTATAAGGTTATTTAGTGTCTCTAAATCTGAATTTTACTGCCAATGAAAGGTAAAATGTCCAAAAGTAAAAAAAAAATATCGGTTGTGCGAAAGTATTGCAATTCAGTTTTAAAGACCAGATCAATTGTTCTAAATTGGCTTGAAAAATAGAGGCCAATTAGTAGTATTGTGACAAGCTAAGCTATTCTGAGTCATTAGCCAACCACTATTTGATGGGGCCAAATGAAGTTTTTTTAGACGATGGGGCGTTTGCGGTTTCTGGAGTATTTGGACCTGTCAGTGAACCGTCTGAAAGATGTTCCCATTGACATTTGCCAGCTGAGCTCACTTGAAGATCTCTGTCTCTCTGACAATAAACTGAGATCACTGCCTCTCAAAATCGGCAACCTTCGCAATCTAATCTCATTAAAAGTAAGAGCGATAAACTTAAGTTCTGTACTACAGTAAAAATCATTTGAGCCAATTTTGTTTGTTGATCCACTAAAAGCTGCAATTTTTCGAGAAAACTAGAAATTGATTGGCTGCTACTTTTTTTTTGCAAAAAAGACTAAGCTGCTCAATCTCTGTTTATCAAGAATGGAGTAAAGTTGAAAAATGATTAAACTGTTAGTTTGAACCCTAAGACAGCGATGGATTTTTCTTTGCGTTTGTTGATGTGCGTTCTAGAAATAAATATATCGGCCGGTTAATTGAATAAAGTCGGTTTGAAGTAACCTAGTTGAATGAGCTGGTCATTTTTATTGCGATCGGTTTAGGCAGACGTCAATTTCCTGGTGGATCTTCCTGACAGCATCGGCCACTGTGCTAATCTGCAGCAACTGTTTCTGGCCGTCAATCTCCTAGCCAGCATTCCCGCCTCAATCGGCCTCCTTCTCAACCTCAGGTCCCTTAGAACAGATTACCTATCACATATTTTTACCCAGCCAGTTCTGTGGTAACGTCTTGAACTTGAACTTAACCCTGTTGACTACACGAATTTGATGGTAAAATATTAATAGTTGGGTCCACACAGTATTGATGGATCCCTGAAAAAAGTTTCGCTGGCCCAATATTTTCGGAAACACCATGTACAAGTGTTTTCTTGTGTTTTCAAACTTTTCTGGAATGACAGGAAACACCTTTGATAATAGGGACCCAACTATCATTCTTGTAACAACATGGCGAAATAGAAGCTTGATTTTAATTATTTCGCCATTTAGTGAGAACTTTGATCAAAAGCACCAAGGTTTAGTTTCTAAAACATTATACGAGTCTTGTTAACTATTTCCACCTTACTACAAAAGGGGGGAATTTTGTTGCACGGTACAAATTCACATGTGCTTAACAGTTGAATTAGTTCTTTATAGCAGTGGCAATTGCTCACTAGAATTGCAAGATCTCATTATGCGTATGCAGTTTATTTAACTGCAAAGTTGATTAAAACTAATTAGTGTTAGTGTTCAGGTCTCTTCACATAGACAAAAACAGACTCACAGATCTGCCCGGTGAAATTGTCGGCTGCGAGAACTTGACTGTTTTGTCAGTGCGAAGAAATTCACTTAGGGTTATCCCGGACAATGTGGGAAACTTGACCAACTTGAGGGTTTTGGACCTGACTGGTAATCAGATCAGCCACCTGCCTGTGTCTCTGAATTCGATCGAGGGACTACGCGCAGTTTGGTTGTCCACAAATCAGGTAGAATATTAATACCAACTCAAGTCCCCATTTCATATGGAGTACAAACACTGTCCCTTGCTTTCTATATCCTGCCAAACAGTTATGTAATTTAGATAGACTGCCGTTTTGGCCAGTCAGCCACCCACAGGATTAAATTGTTATGTGCCGTTTGCTTGTTTTCACTAAAAACAAACTTTCACCTTGGCTGCAACTTGCTTCACGAGCATGCATTTCCTGTTATGTACTTGGGCAGTGCTGCTTTCTGGTGATTTAAATCGTTCACCTAAGGGACAATTTTGTATAGTATGGCAGAGGAAAAGAAAATAAATCTAATTTTGTATGCTTATAATTAAGCAAATTGTATTGCGGAAAAATTCCAAGCACAAAGGCTGGTGACGTGAGAGGTCTGTAATAGTCCCATTGGAACTTACAACCTACGCCTCAAGCTTGATGTGAAGATAATTTTTTGATAACGAGATGCCTGAAATGCCATCTAAAAAGATAAAATGTGGCTTTCTTAATCAGAATAATTGGCAAATCCACCATGTTTTCCTCGAGCCGTAGATTTTTATAAAAATATGCACAAATGTCCGAATCTCACCCTTTTATATAAACAAATAGTCTTTCAATGGAACGATATCGCTGAAATAACTACACTCGTGATAGCAAAGGTCTTGTAATCGGGAACTAGACTTTTTTCCCGTGAACAACTTTTCTTACAAGAAATTAATATTGCTTCCTTATTCAACATTAACAACTTCCAGGTTCCTTCCCACTTTGCGTGGAGTCCACGTGGTAGCTGTTGCACCCTAAGGTTTTTTTTTAAATTTTGTATAAAATTGTCTGGTGAAATTGAATGGTCGGACTTTCGTTTGTCTGCTCAAGGCGCCACATCACGGGTTTTTCTTGCGCTGTAAGCAAGTTTCATGGTAGTTGCAAGTGATTGTAGTTTCAGTGGGACTTGCTTCACCTTCGCATAAATTTCTCAGTTCAATTTCAGTATACTTTTTTTGCCCAACTTCTATTGAAGCACACTCTTTGCTGCCTGTTTTTCATAAAGTAAAACAGCAAATCAGAAGGGTTAGTGGAGAGAGCAAATGACTCGCTCCTGGATGTCACTACTCTGTCAAATCTTTTTAAGTGTCTTGTATGGTTTCAAATTTGATTTTGTGCGGTTTGATGGTTCAACTTTAAAATTGACGGAAAGTTACTCTCCTCAATTACGAAAATACAAATGGCATAAAAAATTTGAATGACTTTATTTTTGAAAGTTTATTCAAACTATCGAGCGTAGTGTGATGATAGGACTATTCTTTTTTCCAGCCAAAGTCGCAAATATTGGTGTCACTTGTGGGGCACCTTTGCGGTTTGGTATTTGTTTTGACAATCGATAAGTTAGAAATTAAAAGTTTTCGGATTCGTGGTTTTCGGCCTAGTTTTCGTTGATCAGTTACCCATTTTTAAAATTAAATTTGTATTATTTGGCTTTTTTCGTGAAGCATGGATTTTATTTTGATTTTGAAATTTTTAAACTCTTTTCGAAAGTTTGTATTTTGTCATTTTACTAAGTCTGATTTTTTTTTTCGATTAAATAGTTTCAGCTTATATTTTATGGCATAATGAACTTATATTGCGTTGTTTTTTGCGACTCAAATGTTGTTGCTATAAAATGTGTTCATTTTGAAAGTGTTCATTTGGATCAGTAATCAGCCATTAAGTACAGCCAATGCTAAGGAGACTATTATTGTGTCCAACTTTTGTAGAATATTTGTGCTCGGGGTGGTTTTTTTCTTCAGGCAAATTTCGAATTTTTAACAAGCCATTTTTGACGGGACTTTTTAAATATCATTCAAAGTATTGTTGTCCTGAGCTTAAATTTGGAAAGTTAAAAAAGCCATTTTGGCCAATTTGGGACAATTAACGCGCGATATATTTCGCGCTATTAACGCGTAAGCGGAGGTTTAATCCGTCAAAGAAATCGTTTCAAATTGGTAGAAGGAAGGTTATTTGCCATAATTGTTGTTCCGACTTTCGATACGAAAGTAACGGAATATTTGTGCTCGGGTGGGTTTTTTTTCTTCAGACAATATTCGACTTTTTAACTTGCCATTTTTGACGGATTTTTTAAAATATCATTCAAAAGGTATTGTTGTCTTGAGCCTAAATTTGAAAAGATATTTCACCTGTGATCATTTTTCGTAAAGATATGGGGATTTAAAGATAGCCATTTTGGCCAAATTTGGGACAATTAACGCGCGATATATTTCGCGCTATTAACGTGTAAACGGAGATTTAATCCGTATTCGAAACCGTTCCAAATTGGTTGACGGAAGCTTATTTGCCATAATTGATTTGTTACTAGGAGCGAAATTGATCAGTTAGTACTTAATAAGACGTGTGGGGGATGATTTTCACAAAAATCTCACATTAAAAAAATTTCATTTTATTTTCATTACCTTTAATTTTTTCTTGTCATTACTGCTCCGTAGACTGCTCTATAAACTGAGACATGTTAGTTGGTAATTTTTTTTCAAATTGACTGGTACTGCTAATGCGTCATAATTGGCGTGCGTCACTTAAGAAATTTTGAAGACTCAAAGTTTTACTCGTTCAGTTTTTCCCAGTAGCGTTATCGGTCATATTTTTTCTTGTGTGTTCGATGTCCAACTTCGCCTCTGTGTTTAATGGTTACATGTCAGTATTTAGACAACCGCGTATTCAGACTGGTCAGTATTTAGACAAATACTGTTTCAACCAATCAGAGTCGAGACAAAGAAGAAATTAATAAATAATTATTATTTATTTTGGATTATTTATGTCTTTTCTCGATTATGATTGGTTCATACAGTATTTGTCTAAATACTGACGAGTATGAATACGCGGCTGTCTAAATACTGGCTGCACTCCGTGTTTAATGTTCAGCAATACTTGCACGATAACCGCCTTGCCTTTCTTCTTCAGTCCTCAAACTTTATCTAGGCTCAATTCCTGTGTTAGAACAGTCAATTATTATTTTCAACTGAGTAAACTAGCGGCCAACAGAAAGTAGTGCTTGAATTAAAATATTGAGTATTTTGGGTTTTATTGACTTGCTGAGATTAATCAAAAGACATAGCCCGAGTTTGGTAACATTTTTCAAGTGCCTTTTGGCTGGAGTTTGTGACATGACACTGTTTTTATATACTGTTCCCAATTTCGTTCTTGCATACATTTACTACCAGAAGCCTGTTTGTTAAGCTCTATAAAGGCAAAATGACAATGAAATGAAGTTTTCACGATGAATACGTTTCATGGCGACGGGGAAACTATTTGTCATTAACTTTTAATGTCGTCATTTGTTTGATTCTGTTAGGGTTCGCACTGTCTTCCCAAGTTCAACATTGAAAACATCAAGGTCAGCTGTAACGACAGCCCAGATGTGCTGGAGTCTCTAAGTGGCACCACAAACACGGACTGGGAGGAAGAACATTCTAGAAGGAACGGAGGTATCCTAGATGGTGGCGGGGATCATGAGGGAATGCAGACTGTGCTGACGACGTTCCTCTTGCCACAGAAGCCCGGCGATGCAGGTGTGTCCTGGAGTTTGTGGTATTGCTAATTAGCATATTATTTTGCGTAATTTCGAGGTCGAAATATATTCGTATAAGATTATGTGCTTCAGTATGGATGGATCGTAAAAAGTTTTAAAACTCCATGAATTCTTTTATGACAACAATTTTTTTTCGGCTCAACAGGTTTCGACCCAAAAAATGTCGATTTTGTTGCCGCTTGGTGAATGGTTATTTATGAACGTCATTAAGGCTGTTTATGAACGTCATCCGATACAACTCAGTTTTTGTAGCTAGAGTTTTTCCAATTTTTTCAAGTTATTTTTTCTAGTAATTTTCAACCTAATTGTCCCGAATTTTTTTGACTGTCTTTTTTTCACTGACTGTATTCTAATGCAATGTGTAGCGCAACTCGAGTTTTTCAAGCTAGTTCATTACTTTTGTTTCTTTTTTAGGAGGATAATGCAAATAACGTAAATCATCAGTATTTTTACTAGCCAAAACTTTTTTGGTTTTTGTGTGAAATTGTTTAGACAAGCATAGCTTGTGTGATAGTATGAACTCTATTTTTTCCAAGCTAAGTCGCAAATATTAGTGTTCATTTTGAAAGTGTTCATTTTGATCACTAACCAGCTATTGAGTACAGCCAATGCTAAGGATATTAGCACAGACTATTATATTACTAATAGCACTTTAGCTTCAAGGTATCATGGATCTGTAGCGTAGAGGTAGGAAAGGAGACCCGCAACAAAAAAGACCTTTCGAATCTGGACAGGGTCGGATGTTTTTAATGAATTTTTTCGTATATTTAAAATGCGTCCTATCTATAAATTGAGGTATGTTAGTTGGTTATTTTTTTTTGCAAATTGACTGGTACTGCTAATATGTCATAATTGACTTGCGTCACTTAGCTACAGGCTTTTGTATAGGTATTTCGTAGTTCAGAATCTTTTCATTGTTGCGTTTATTTTTTTTCGTTTTTTTTTTCAAGGTAAAGTCTTAAAATTTGTTCAGGCTCCGATTTACTTTCGACATTTGATTTTTTTATTGGACATTTGTTTTCAGGTTCAGTTCATTTCCTTTGTTATAAAAATGGCAGACTCCACTGTTGAACAGTAAAAGTGTAAATGTCACGAAAAACGTGATCGACTTCGAGTTTCGAAAGTGGAATTTAATTATTGAGATGAAATTTTACCTTTTGATCAAGTTTTCTCAAATGTATTTATTGTATCAAAAAGGTTTCAATCATAAATTGTTCTATAGTTTCAAAGAGTTTTTTTTTCCGGTAAATTTAAATGCGTACTTATAAATTCACATACGAAGTACTGTACTCTTTGAGTTCAATTCAATTTCGTTTTCTAGAATGCAAAATGCAGTCTCTAATTATGAAAGCCGAAAAGGCGCAAAAAAGCGAGAACGATTCCAGTATCAAACAGGAAATTTAATTTTTACATTTCCTAGCGGACTAAAAACTTCATCTAATAATCCAGTTCTCTCAAATTAAGTTAGTTTTATCAAAAAAGTGTTATTCATGAATTATTCTTGAAGCTTAAAGTGTTTTTAGGTCATAAATTTTTTACTTTGAAAATAGAAAGTTTTCAAAAATTAAAAGAATTTTTTGCGTTCCTCGACTTTTTTCCATCAGTCTGTGGGCTATTTTTGGTACAGATTTGACAGTAACTATAGACCCAACGATTTAACATTAAATATAGACATTCATTATAGCAATCATGCACGTTTTTTTAAAATAAAGTCAAAATGGTTAAACTTTTGTATTAAAGACAATATTTCTTGAAAAATACCTACGTGAGAGTTATATATATATATCTTTTTCTAATTTTCAATTCTTTAGTAGAAAGCCATGAAACATAACCCTATGTGATAGATTTTATCTTTAAAAGACTGAATTATTTGAAGACAGTGACTTTGAACCCGAGAGTGATGACGAAGAAAAGTGTTGCGGGAGTCGTTGCGAGACACCTGTCATGTCTGCCGTGTGTATCATCCCACCAGGCACTTTCTACTCCTCAGGTGACCCCCTCGCCCTGTCACACGAAGGCACTGGAACTAACTCGATTCTTAGTCTTGTCTGATAGGTCTTGAATTAACTGAATATTGAGTCGGATTATTTTGCTCATTGGAAAGACATGTCTTCATTGACATTGTTAGTTCTCAACAAACTAACAAAAGCTGAGTGATTAGATAACGGGACATCTTTTCTGATCACCGAGACTGAAATAATGATATTTTTGGTACCAGCATGATTTTTGGGTCCTAGAATTCCGAAACTTTTGTGTTAATTTTAACTAAGGAAACAAATTCAAACACTGTTTTGAATAACGCAAAGCCTGAAAATGTTTCTTTATGACTTCGTATTCGTTTTAATTACCCAACTATCGTGCTTGACCCTAACTTCGCTGTTGTGACGCTTTAAATGTTCTATAATGAGATAACTTGTTTGATTTCGCTCTTGATTATTATTACGAGTCGATGAACGTAGTTCAGACTCTTCTATAGGTTGTGATGATTTTTTTCACGAAAAGTCTTAAAATTTGTTCAAGCTCAAATATAATTTTTTACAATTCAGTTCATTTTCTTTGTTAAACCGGAGGCAAACTTCACTGTCGAACAAAAAAAGTGTAAAGGTCACGAAAATCGTGATCGACTTCTAGTTTCGAAGTGGAGTTTAATTTTCAGATTTCCCATTCATTGATCCAGTTTTCTCAAAATGGATTAACTTTATCAAAAAAGTGTCAATCATGAATTGTTCTAGAAATTCAAAGAGCTTTAATGGCTCATATTTTTCCCTTTGAAATTCGAAAGTTAATTTTTCAAAAAAAAAACTAGTCAGTATTTTTTTTGTTTTTTTTTGCGTTCATTTACTCTTTTCCAATTGTCTGTTGGCTATGTTTGCAAATTGTAGCTCATTTTAAGTCAAAAATGTGGTTACGGAAAGATAAGGCACAATTTTTTTGATGCTGGTTGTTAAAATATAACAAAAAGCTGTACGAAAGAAAGAGCATATTGTTTTAGTTGACTTAGTATTAATTAATTATCTTCCTCTTTTTTGCTTTTGCTGACTTTTCTTAGCTTTTACGCTTTTGAACTAAACTGATATCTGTACAAAAAGCTCTTTCCTATTGTAGCTCCGATTTTAGTCTCAAAAATATTCGCCCATTTTCGGCTATTAAAATAGATTGACGGGTATTAAAGGCTGCAGGTGGCTGTAATAGGAAAGAGCGTTATTAAACTGAGGATGGGCTAATCCGACTAACTTTCCAGATACACCCCCTGAGTTGGCGGCATTGGGGGACAGCACTCGGCTGATGAGGAGAGAGGAGGAGAAGGATGTGGAGAAGGAGACATTGAGAGACAGCCATAGTAGGTCACGTGGGGTCATGTTCGCCAAAGAGGTCACTGACCTCAATTCAAATAGCAGACGCGCGGCTAAAGCAGCTCAGGCCCGAACGGAGGCTGCAGACAACTCAGACGAGGTATAAAAAGACACGCGACAATATTTATTTTCGTTTATCAGGAAAAAGCCAAAAAATTTGATCACGCTCAAATGTGATTTTTCGCGGTTTTACTTTTGGTTTCTTTCTAAGTTATGTTAATTTACTTTGTTAAAAGGAAAGCAAACACCACTATGGAACAGCAGAAATGTTAAGGTCACGAAAAACTTGAAATATTCTAGTTTTGAAAGTAGACTTTAATTTTAAAATTTCCCCGCGGAAGGTAAAATTATCCTGTTGATCTAGTTTTCTCAAAGTGGGTTATTTTTAGCAAAAAATTGTCAGTCATAAATTGTTCGAAGAGCTTAAAGGGAATATGGTGTTTCATTGAAATTCGAAAGTTGAAGTAATATTTTTTTTTCAGTTTCCTTGAGTTCCTTGACGCTTTTCCAACTGTCTTAAATGTAAATGTTTTAAATGTAAATGTTTCAAGTTTAAAATAGCGAAGACTTTTGTTTTGGTCGTTTTGGCTTTGAAGAATTTTTTGCTATTTTCTCATTGAAAAAAACTGTGCGCTGCAGTAATAAAAGTAAAATGGCGCGAAGGTTTCGAGGGTGGATATCAGTTTTTAGAAGATTTTCCCAGCGCAGAAATTGTTGTATATTGATTCACTTTTGTCATTTTGATCAGAATAGTGTTAACCATGAATGATTCTTGAATTTCAAACAGCTTAAAGCCCATTGTTTTCTTTGAAACTCGAAGATTGAAAAGTTTCACAAAAAATTCAATCAATTATCTTTTTCAGTCTCCTTGAGCTCAATGAGATTTCTATAGCTGTATGTTGTCTTTGTTTCTCTATTTAGGTGTTGTGTTTTTACACAAAAGCACGCTTAGTTTTATAATTTGTTGTCTGCATTGTGATTTCCAACTTTGCTCAAAAACTTTTGATTTAGGGATGGCAAATATTTTGCTCCTCAATAGCAAACGTGAAAGTTGCCCAAAACTGGAGCTTGGATTTAGTTTAAAAGTTGGATTAACATTTTCTTCTCTCCCGCAAAAAAAATTCTCCCATAATTTTGAATTTATTATATATTTAAATGCAGCCGTCACTATCTCGACATAATTAAGCTTTTTCAACGTATTAATTTAACGCATGTTCACCGAAAGAATTTTAGCACGTTTAAGCTAAATCGTATATTGCAAAGGTTAAGATTTTTTTTCTATTTTCAATTCAGTGTTTATTTCAACGAGTTTAAAATCAGCAACCTAATAGTGGGATGCTGTCAGCGCTGTCAATTATGACTCTTTTTAGTTTACGAGATACGACGATTTTTTATGATTTTTCAGAAAGTTTTTAAAAAACTAAAATTAAAACATAATTCACAAAATTTGATAGTTCCAACCCTGTAGTGGGGTGCTGCCACAGTACTCTCAAAGATTGCTATTCTTGCCTCCAAATATGACTGCTCAAATCGTTGTAATTTTCGAGATATAAAGAGTTTTATGATTTCTTTTTTAATTTTTCAGAAAACTTATATTTTAAACTAAATCAAGGGATTTGAAATTCCCAACCTTTTAGTTGGGCTCTGTGAGGGTACTCTCAGGAGTTTTAATTTGCAAATTTAGCGTCAAAATGCGACTGCTTAAATGCTCTTAGTTTCCGAGATGTGACGTTTGTTAGGTCATTTTTTTAATGTTCAAAGAACTTAAAAGTTTTTAAAAAACTAAAATTAAAAAATAATTCAAAAAATTTGAAAGTTCCAACCCTGTAGTGGGGTGCTGCCACAGTAATCTCAAAGATTGCGATTCTTGCCTCCAAATATGACTGCTCAAATCCTTGTAGTTTTCGAGATATAAAGTGTTTTATGATTTCTTTTTAATTTTTCAGAAAACTTATATTTTAAACAAAATCAAGGGATTTGAAATTCGCAACCTTGTAGTTGGGCTCTGTGAGGGTACTCTCAGGAGTTGTAATTTGCAAATTTAGCGTCAAATTGCGACTGCTTAAATGCTCTTAGTTTCCGTGATGTGACGTTTGTTAGGTCATTTTTTCAATGTTCAAAGAACTTAAAAGTTTTTAAAAAACGAAAATTAAAAAATAATTCACAAAGTTTGATAGTTCCAACCCTGTAGTGGGGTGCTGCCACAGTACTCTCAAAGATTGCTATTCTTGCCTCCAAATATGACTGCTCAAATCGTTGTAATTTTCGAGATATAAAGAGTTTTATGATTTCTTTTTTAATTTTTCAGAAAACTTATATTTTAAACTAAATCAAGGGATTTGAAATTCCCAACCTTTTAGTTGGGCTCTGTGAGGGTACTCTCAGGAGTTTTAATTTGCAAATTTAGCGTCAAAATGCGACTGCTTAAATGCTCTTAGTTTCCGAGATGTGACGTTTGTTAGGTCATTTTTTTAATGTTCAAAGAACTTAAAAGTTTTTAAAAAACTAAAATTAAAAAATAATTCAAAAAATTTGAAAGTTCCAACCCTGTAGTGGGGTGCTGCCACAGTAATCTCAAAGATTGCGATTCTTGCCTCCAAATATGACTGCTCAAATCCTTGTAGTTTTCGAGATATAAAGTGTTTTATGATTTCTTTTTAATTTTTCAGGAAACTTATATTTTAAACAAAATCAAGGGATTTGAAATTCGCAACCTTGTAGTTGGGCTCTGTGAGGGTACTCTCAGGAGTTGTAATTTGCAAATTTAGCGTCAAATTGCGACTGCTTAAATGCTCTTAGTTTCCGTGATGTGACGTTTGTTAGGTCATTTTTTCAATGTTCAAAGAACTTAAAAGTTTTTAAAAAACGAAAATTAAAAAATAATTCACAAAGTTTGATAGTTCCAACCCTGTAGTGGGGTGCTGCCACAGTACTCTCAAAGATTGCGATTCTTGCCTCCAAATATGACTGCTCAAATCCTTGTAATTTTCGAGATATAAAGTGTTTTATGATTTCTTTTTTAATTTTTCAGAAAACTTATATTTTAAACTAAATCAAGGGATTTGAAATTCCCAACCTTTTAGTTGGGCTCTGTGAGGGTACTCTCAGGAGTTGTAATTTGCAAATTTAGCGTCAAAATGCGACTGCTTAAATGCTCTTAGTTTCCGAGATGTGACGTTTGTTAGGTCATTTTTTTAATGTTCAAAGAACTTAAAAGTTTTTAAAAAACTAAATTTAAAAAATAATTCAAAAAATTTGAAAGTTCCAACCCTGTAGTGGGGTGCTGCCACAGTAATCTCAAAGATTGCGATTCTTGCCTCCAAATATGACTGCTCAAATCCTTGTAGTTTTCGAGATATAAAGTGTTTTATGATTTCTTTTTAATTTTTCAGGAAACTTATATTTTAAACAAAATCAAGGGATTTGAAATTCGCAACCTTGTAGTTGGGCTCTGTGAGGGTACTCTCAGGAGTTGTAATTTGCAAATTTAGCGTCAAATTGCGACTGCTTAAATGCTCTTAGTTTCCGTGATGTGACGTTTGTTAGGTCATTTTTTCAATGTTCAAAGAACTTAAAAGTTTTTAAAAAACGAAAATTAAAAAATAATTCACAAAGTTTGATAGTTCCAACCCTGTAGTGGGGTGCTGCCACAGTACTCTCAAAGATTGCGATTCTTGCCTCCAAATATGACTGCTCAAATCCTTGTAATTTTCGAGATATAAAGTGTTTTATGATTTCTTTTTTAATTTTTCAGAAAACTTATATTTTAAACTAAATCAAGGGATTTGAAATTCCCAACCTTTTAGTTGGGCTCTGTGAGGGTACTCTCAGGAGTTGTAATTTGCAAATTTAGCGTCAAAATGCGACTGCTTAAATGCTCTTAGTTTCCGAGATGTGACGTTTGTTAGGTCATTTTTTTAATGTTCAAAGAACTTAAAAGTTTTTAAAAAACTAAATTTAAAAAATAATTCAAAAAATTTGAAAGTTCCAACCCTGTAGTGGGGTGCTGCCACAGTAATCTCAAAGATTGCGATTCTTGCCTCCAAATATGACTGCTCAAATCCTTGTAGTTTTCGAGATATAAAGTGTTTTATGATTTCTTTTTAATTTTTCAGGAAACTTATATTTTAAACAAAATCAAGGGATTTGAAATTCGCAACCTTGTAGTTGGGCTCTGTGAGGGTACTCTCAGGAGTTGTAATTTGCAAATTTAGCGTCAAATTGCGACTGCTTAAATGCTCTTAGTTTCCGTGATGTGACGTTTGTTAGGTCATTTTTTCAATGTTCAAAGAACTTAAAAGTTTTTAAAAAACGAAAATTAAAAAATAATTCACAAAGTTTGATAGTTCCAACCCTGTAGTGGGGTGCTGCCACAGTACTCTCAAAGATTGCGATTCTTGCCTCCAAATATGACTGCTCAAATCCTTGTAATTTTCGAGATATAAAGTGTTTTATGATTTCTTTTTTAATTTTTCAGAAAACTTATATTTTAAACTAAATCAAGGGATTTGAAATTCCCAACCTTTTAGTTGGGCTCTGTGAGGGTACTCTCAGGAGTTGTAATTTGCAAATTTAGCGTCAAAATGCGACTGCTGAAATGCTCTTAGTTTCCGAGATGTGACGTTTGTTAGGTCATTTTTTTAATGTTCAAAGAACTTAAAAGTTTTTAAAAAACTAAAATTAAAAAATAATTCACAAAATTTGAAAGTTCCAACCCTGTAGTGGGGTGCTGCCACAGTACTCTCAAAGATTGCGATTCTTGCCTCCAAATATGACTGCTCAAATCCTTGTAGTTTTCGAGATATAAAGTGTTTTATGATTTCTTTTTAATTTTTCAGAAAACTTATATTTTAAACAAAATCAAGGGATTTGAAATTCGCAACCTTGTAGTTGGGCTCTGTGAGGGTACTCTCAGGAGTTGTAATTTGCAAATTTAGCGTCAAAATGCGACTGCTTAAATGCTCCTAGTTTCCGAGATGTGACGTTTGTTAGGTCATTTTTTTAATGTTCAAAAATTTCACAAAATTTGAAGTTCTCATCACTTTAGTGAAGATCTGTCAGGGTACTACCAGATTTTGCGAGTTTCTCCTCCAACTTTGACCTTGTAGTTTTCGAGATTTGACGTGTTTTATGATTTCTTTTTTTAGTTTTCAGAAAACTTATGTTTTGAAAAATTCATAAGATTTGCTTCTCCCATCCTTGTAGTTGGGCTCTGTGAGGGTACTTTCAGGAGCTCTAAGTTGCAAATTTTGCGTCCAAAAGCGGCTGTTCAAAAACTCTTAGTTTCTAAGATGTGACGTTTTTTAGGTCATTTGAAAACAAAATGTTCAAAGAACTCAGATATTAGAAGTTTCACAAAATTTGAAGTTCTCATCTCTATAGTGAGGCTTTGTAAGGGGACTTCCAATGGTTGCAAATTTTGCCTCCAACTGTGACTGCTCAAATCGTTGTAATTTTCGAGATATAAAGAGTTTTATGATTTCTTTTTTAATTTTTCAGAAAACTTATATTTTAAACTAAATCAAGGGATTTGAAATTCCCAACCTTTTAGTTGGGCTCTGTGAGGGTACTCTCAGGAGTTTTAATTTGCAAATTTAGCGTCAAAATGCGACTGCTTAAATGCTCTTAGTTTCCGAGATGTGACGTTTGTTAGGTCATTTTTTTAATGTTCAAAGAACTTAAAAGTTTTTAAAAAACTAAAATTAAAAAATAATTCAAAAAATTTGAAAGTTCCAACCCTGTAGTGGGGTGCTGCCACAGTAATCTCAAAGATTGCGATTCTTGCCTCCAAATATGACTGCTCAAATCCTTGTAGTTTTCGAGATATAAAGTGTTTTATGATTTCTTCTTAATTTTTCAGGAAACTTATATTTTAAACAAAATCAAGGGATTTGAAATTCGCAACCTTGTAGTTGGGCTCTGTGAGGGTACTCTCAGGAGTTGTAATTTGCAAATTTAGCGTCAAATTGCGACTGCTTAAATGCTCTTAGTTTCCGTGATGTGACGTTTGTTAGGTCATTTTTTCAATGTTCAAAGAACTTAAAAGTTTTTAAAAAACGAAAATTAAAAAATAATTCACAAAGTTTGATAGTTCCAACCCTGTAGTGGGGTGCTGCCACAGTACTCTCAAAGATTGCGATTCTTGCCTCCAAATATGACTGCTCAAATCCTTGTAATTTTCGAGATATAAAGTGTTTTATGATTTCTTTTTTAATTTTTCAGAAAACTTATATTTTAAACTAAATCAAGGGATTTGAAATTCCCAACCTTTTAGTTGGGCTCTGTGAGGGTACTCTCAGGAGTTGTAATTTGCAAATTTAGCGTCAAAATGCGACTGCTTAAATGCTCTTAGTTTCCGAGATGTGACGTTTGTTAGGTCATTTTTTTAATGTTCAAAGAACTTAAAAGTTTTTAAAAAACTAAATTTAAAAAATAATTCAAAAAATTTGAAAGTTCCAACCCTGTAGTGGGGTGCTGCCACAGTAATCTCAAAGATTGCGATTCTTGCCTCCAAATATGACTGCTCAAATCCTTGTAATTTTCGAGATATAAAGTGTTTTATGATTTCTTTTTTAATTTTTCAGAAAACTTATATTTTAAACTAAATCAAGGGATTTGAAATTCCCAACCTTTTAGTTGTGCTCTGTGAGGGTACTCTCAGGAGTTGTAATTTGCAAATTTAGCGTCAAAATGCGACTGCTTAAATGCTCTTAGTTTCCGAGATGTGACGTTTGTTAGGTCATTTTTTTAATGTTCAAAGAACTTAAAAGTTTTTAAAAAACTAAATTTAAAAAATAATTCAAAAAATTTGAAAGTTCCAACCCTGTAGTGGGGTGCTGCCACAGTAATCTCAAAGATTGCGATTCTTGCCTCCAAATATGACTGCTCAAATCCTTGTAGTTTTCGAGATATAAAGTGTTTTATGATTTCTTTTTAATTTTTCAGGAAACTTATATTTTAAACAAAATCAAGGGATTTGAAATTCGCAACCTTGTAGTTGGGCTCTGTGAGGGTACTCTCAGGAGTTGTAATTTGCAAATTTAGCGTCAAATTGCGACTGCTTAAATGCTCTTAGTTTCCGTGATGTGACGTTTGTTAGGTCATTTTTTCAATGTTCAAAGAACTTAAAAGTTTTTAAAAAACGAAAATTAAAAAATAATTCACAAAGTTTGATAGTTCCAACCCTGTAGTGGGGTGCTGCCACAGTACTCTCAAAGATTGCGATTCTTGCCTCCAAATATGACTGCTCAAATCCTTGTAATTTTCGAGATATAAAGTGTTTTATGATTTCTTTTTTAATTTTTCAGAAAACTTATATTTTAAACTAAATCAAGGGATTTGAAATTCCCAACCTTTTAGTTGGGCTCTGTGAGGGTACTCTCAGGAGTTGTAATTTGCAAATTTAGCGTCAAAATGCGACTGCTGAAATGCTCTTAGTTTCCGAGATGTGACGTTTGTTAGGTCATTTTTTTAATGTTCAAAGAACTTAAAAGTTTTTAAAAAACTAAAATTAAAAAATAATTCACAAAATTTGAAAGTTCCAACCCTGTAGTGGGGTGCTGCCACAGTACTCTCAAAGATTGCGATTCTTGCCTCCAAATATGACTGCTCAAATCCTTGTAGTTTTCGAGATATAAAGTGTTTTATGATTTCTTTTTAATTTTTCAGAAAACTTATATTTTAAACAAAATCAAGGGATTTGAAATTCGCAACCTTGTAGTTGGGCTCTGTGAGGGTACTCTCAGGAGTTGTAATTTGCAAATTTAGCGTCAAAATGCGACTGCTTAAATGCTCCTAGTTTCCGAGATGTGACGTTTGTTAGGTCATTTTTTTAATGTTCAAAAATTTCACAAAATTTGAAGTTCTCATCACTTTAGTGAAGATCTGTCAGGGTACTACCAGATTTTGCGAGTTTCTCCTCCAACTTTGACCTTGTAGTTTTCGAGATTTGACGTGTTTTATGATTTCTTTTTTTAGTTTTCAGAAAACTTATGTTTTGAAAAATTCATAAGATTTGCTTCTCCCATCCTTGTAGTTGGGCTCTGTGAGGGTACTTTCAGGAGCTCTAAGTTGCAAATTTTGCGTCCAAAAGCGGCTGTTCAAAAACTCTTAGTTTCTAAGATGTGACGTTTTTTAGGTCATTTGAAAACAAAATGTTCAAAGAACTCAGATATTAGAAGTTTCACAAAATTTGAAGTTCTCATCTCTATAGTGAGGCTTTGTAAGGGGACTTCCAATGGTTGCAAATTTTGCCTCCAACTGTGACTGCTCAAATCTTTGTAGTGTTCGAGAAATGTCTTTTTTTTCAAAAAATTTTCAGAAAACTAAATGAAAGTTTTTTAAAATTTGAAATTCCTAACCCTGTAGTTGGGTGCTGATATAGTGGTCTCAGGGGTTGTGAATCTTATTTCCAACTTTTACTCATCAAGTTTTTGCAGGTTTTGAGAAATGGCCTTTTTTATGGTTTTTTTCAAAAAAATTTTTAGAAAACGTAAATTTGAAAGTTTCTCAGAATTTGAAGTTTTCATTGCTGTAATTGGGTACTGTTAGATTACCCTCAAGAGCTGCAAATCTTGCGTTCAAATGCGACTGCTCACGTGCTGTTAGTTTCCCAGATGTGACATTTTTAAAATAATTTTAAAATTTTTCAACTTGGATATTAAAAAAACTTCACAAAATTTTATGGTTTTTCAAAATTTGAATAGAGAAAGACTTTAATATAAAAAAACTTATAAAAATCGAAAGTACCAGCCGTGTAATTGGATGCTGTCAGAGTACACTCAAAGGATGCAGATCTTATTTCCTATATATGCGGTTTTTTATGGGTTTTCAAAAATTAGAAGCACCCGAGTGCGTTACGCTCTAGTCAGTTATAAAAAGTTGTTTAATCTACACAAATAGTTCTCTGGTATATGTGTGTAATCATTGATGCAGACTTTCTCGTCAACGACTGAACGAAATGACTTGATTCTTTGTATTGTTGTCGGAGCCTACATTGAGGTTCTTAATCGCAGCAAATCTATAAAAATATAGTTATCGCTAAATTTTCTCAGCAGTTTTGTTTATTATATGGGAAATATCATTTAACCTGTATTGAAGTCCGCAAAATCAACGTTACTTAATTTCTTGAAGATTATTTGAGCCTGCTTTCAAGAAAATTGAGTCTGCTTGAAATCAAGTATTGTTTTTTTTAATGAAAGGGTAAATGGCTCTCTCCGATTAGAATGCTCTTGGCTGCAAGCAAAAAATCATATTCGCCTGAGATTGTTTGTTGGACCTATAATTTGTGTGAGAGGACAAGAGTAGAAAATATAAAGCGTTAGTAAATGTGTATTGCAAATTTTTTGTTTTAAATTGCAAGTGATCCTTGAAGTTTTCAAGGTAGAAAAGTTTGAAAAAATAATTTAAGTGCGAGCTCTTATCTCCTGAATGGTTTGTGATATTATCTTAGAAATTAAATAAACGGAATGAATGTTTTTTTTTGCGAGCATTAAAAATTTCTCCAGCAACTTCTTTTTTCTTTTGTAATGAGCTGCTCAGTGAATTTTTTCCGTCTGTTTGCCTGCGACTTTTTTTTACTCAATGGTAGTAAAAAATTGAGCGATGAACGAGTATTCAATTTACTGAATGGTAATAATTACAGGCTAGCTTTTGGCCGTGTCTTTTCTATTCGATTTTTTTAATTAAAAGTCGATGAACGTAGTTCAGACTCTTAGATTGGTCGCTATGCTTTTTTCTTTGTTTTTTTTTCAGGAAAAGGAAATTTAAGATGCCTCTTTGAATTTTCGAACGAATTTTTTTTAAAAGACAAGTCAGTATTTTTTCTGTTTATTTGCGTTCATTGACTCTTTTCCAACCGTCTGTTGTCTATGTTTCTGATTAGTCTGGAGCGGGGTTGCGTAGACATGGGACCCCGCACCCACGTGACCTGAAATTGAGACATCAGGAGTTCTTGCAGAGAAATTCCATGCTGGCGGACGAGATAGAACAAGAAGACGAAGAAGATGACATGTTCGTCTCACATAAAAATAACCCATCTATACCAACACCACAAAGAGTAAGTAGGAATTGGTTGCTCTAACATTGTTGTAGTAGTTGCCTCGTCGAGAAACAGCGTTTTATTTTCATCTTATCGGTGTTTTGCCTGAAATGATTTCTGTTGCATTACGAGAAAATCATTTTTGTAGACGGAATAATAGCTCCAAAGCATTTTTCTCAAATCATAGATCTTATCTGAAATCATTTTTGTGTTCGATAATTTATTTTTAATTTCATTGAAAATTTTGTTGTTTTAGAGCAAAATTTTTGATGCCAAAATAGTACCTCCGACATTTGCACCTTTCAACGTTCATCACAGTAAAACAAACTCTCTTGGACAGCTCAAAAGCAATAGTACTGTCCCGCCCAATCTACCTGGGCTGAAATCAAGTGTCGCGACTAACCCACTAACAAACCCAGTTTCACTTGACAGTGAGGTATCATCTCGCTACAATAGCAACAGCAGTAGATTTTTTACTAATAATTCACCTAGCGGCCTCGCCAATTCATCGCGCAGTGGATCTAGCAGTGAGTTTGCAGCTATGAATAACCCACGACCTCTGCAGGGACACAATAAGCAGTATAGTGATTTGACAACTAATGCATCAATGGGTCCATGGACGGAAATTTCAAGCGGCGCTTGTGGGGTAGGGGCTGGGGTTAGTAAGATCAAAGATGCAGTTCCATTAGCACTGAAAGATGACGTAGACTTGATAATGACTGAAGAGGATATTACATGTGAAGATAGAGGCAACAGACTCTATCATGGTGGTGGGGGTGATGATGAAGATGAAGATGACGGAGGTTACAGTGAGTGTGGGGAAGGTAATGGCAATGACGTCATCACATCATATTCCACCGAGGACTCAATGGGGCTAAATGAGGGGTCATTGTTGGGTTATCAAGTGTCAATGGGCGATAAGTGGGATTGTGGGGGGCACTATGAGTGCATTAGGGACCCCAGTAGTAGTCTCAGTTTATTATCTCACCCTAAATCTCTGCCTCAGTCGCAGTCAGTGGCGTCGATGGGATTGGGATATGAACAGCAGGCGGCTCCTGTCCATCAGGCGAGTAATGTCAACAGAGCAGGCACTTATGCCTCTACTTTTTATCTCCCTCCCTCCTCCTCTTTGTCCTCATCTCAGTTTCCGCACCCAGTTTCAACCATCCACGTAAATACATTCTTTCTCTCATTTGTGTCTCTGTGCGCTACCGATAGCACATAGAAGACGCAGCATACTAGTACCTGCATTGCTATGTATCAATATTAAACCGGGCTTGGTTATTGGATTGTGCTGTTGTATGTTATGCTGCAGAAATGAAATAGTAAAGCGATGAACAGAGAAATGGGACTGCATAAGTTTTGACTGTTTCATGCACAGTAGTCAGTCTGCATATTTTATTAATCTAGGGGCGCATTTCTTTTAAGTGGTTTGTTTTTTTTCTTAATTTGGGACGGAAGTTGATGTCCAAATTTGCATAATTTCTGCATATGGTAAAATTGATTTGGGAAATATTACTCAAAAATATTAATTGATTTAATTACTCAGTTTTTCTTTAAAAAAAAAAAATGCTCAGAATGACATTTTAGGCAACCAAATAATTAAGTCAGGAAACAGATAAATTATTAAGAGTCAATGATCGTAGTATCGTAATATAGGTCGTGATGATTTTGTTTATTTTCAGGTAAGTTTGATTTTTCGCGGTTTTAACTTTTGATTTCTTATTAAGTTCAGTTCATTTTTCCTTCAGTTCAAAAAGAAGGCATACTCCACCATCGAACAACAATAGTAAAGGTCACGAAAAATGTTATTGACCTCTAGTTTCGTAAGTGGATTTTATATTTCAGTTTTCCCAGCGGAATAAAAACTTTATCGATTAATCCGGTTTTCTCAAATTGGTTAAATTTTATCAAAAAAAGTGTCAATCATAAATTGTATATCAATAATAAATCAATAATTTTAGTAATTCAAAGAGCTTTAAGGCCATCTATTTTATCTCGGAAAATCGAAAGTTTAGATTTTTTCAAAAAAAAATTTTTGTATTTTTTTTTCTGTTTACTTGCGTTCATTGACTCTTTTCCAACTGTCTATTGGCTACGATAATTTATTAGGGAAATACTCAATTTTCTATTAGAATGGAGGGATCCTTTTTCAACTGCTGAGAATAAAATTTGTTCGGCAGCCAAATGAGCTAAGTCAGGAAGTAGTCAAATTCTTTTTTTCCTGGATATAATAAGACACTGGAATTTCAACTTTCTGGTAAAATCTTCAATAATCTTTTAATTTTTTCTTTAACTTTAGACCCAAGGAATAATGGATGTTGTTAATGACGTCTCTGAAAGTTTGGCGCCTGGTGTCAGCCAGTTTGGTTCTAACCCAGGTAGACGTCGCTCTTCTCTCACGTCGCAGAACAATTCAGACAAGGATCTGAAATTCACCTCATCCACAATGAACAAAGCCTCTTCGCCATTATCAGTATCAACTCATACAAAGCCAGCCAGGTCAGGGGTTAGCTTTGCGGCAGATCTCCCCGAAGTCCAAGTTGCAGTTGAAACATGTCAAGTGTCTTTACATCGTCTTCACCCCAGCGAGAGTTTTGGGTTCTCACTAGCACCTTTGGACCCCCCGGGTGGAATATTTGTGACGAAAATAGCCCAGGACAACCCTGAAGCACCAGCATTAAGTCTTCTGTCAAAAAATGACAGGATTCTGAAGGTCAACGACCTGGTTATATCAGACGGTGTCCTGCAGCACCAACAAGTTGTAGACATACTCAAGGCTTCGATGGATGTGACCCTGACGATTGAAAGACATGTTACGACAGTTACAAACCAACCCGAGTCGCCTCCAATCTTGACAAATTTGACAAACACATCGCTTAACTCTTTTGCAACCGACATCAAACCAATTCCTGTGCTTAAAAAGACAAATCCCGTTTCCAGTAATCCAACTAAAGGCGATAAAGTTCGTAAAGCGGAAAAGATATCGGCATTCGGTGATGTTCAGAATCTTGACATCCACGACGACGATGAAGATGAATATGAGGATTCGACGAGTCATTACGAATCAGTCAATCCAGTTCCGTTTCCACAGATTCCAGAGTTTGAAGAAATTTCAGTCTCTAGGAATGTAACTGGAGGCAACTGGCCTTTCACCCTGGCAGCCGGGATTCCTTTCTGGGCTGCGTGGGAACTAACTTCATCAATCGATAATTTCCCAGCTGTCTATATATCATCAGTGCCCAAAAATTCCTTCGCAGATAGTAAGAATAGAAACACGGGATTGATTGTGGGCGATCAGGTGTTAGCAATCGAAGGTCATGACCTGTCGCGACCCGGAGTGACCCTACAGGATGGCTTAGACGTTTTAGTGGCACACGCGACTGTAAACTCAATAAAACTACTGGTCAAACATCCTCCGCCACCGCCTACTGGCTTGATGGTAAATGTCTAATTTCCGTTTCGTTCATTTCAAATGCAGTTTCTTTTTTATGGTGTAGTGTAAAGGCAACGTTACGGAAACTTTTAACAATTCTACTCGGTCCTTATGAAACCATTCATAGATACGCGGAAAAAATGAAGGGTCAATAAATGATGGCACTTATTGAGGTGGTGCCGTTTGTGGTTTTTAAGACTTCCAGTTTCAAAAGTTGAATTTGGTTTTCAGATTTGCCAGCGGAATAAAAATTTTACCTATTGATCCAGGTTTCTCAAATTTGGTGAAAAATCTGTCAATCACAAATTGTTCTGAAAAATCGAAGAGCTTTAACGATCTATTTTTTTCTTGGAAAATTGAAAGTTGAGATTTTTCCCAAAGCAAGTCTAATGTTTTTTTTTAGTTTACTAGCGTTCATTGACTGTTTTCCAACTGTCTGTTGGCGATGTTTTTTTCAGGCAATTCTAAAATTTCGACCTCACTTTGTTGTTTTTTTTTGCGGTATGACCTCTGAGCTCTTCTAAAGATCAGTTCAATTTCAATTGCTAAAAGGAAGGCAACTTACGCTCGCAGCAACGAAAGTACAAGTGACACGAAAAAACGTGAATGATTTTTTCGTTTACAAATTGGATTTCAATTTTCAGAATTCCTCGCGGAATAAAAATTTACCTTTTGATCCAGTTTTCTCAAATGAGAAAAGAGAAGAAAAACAATAGGAAAGTAAGTTGATTGGTTTGAATTTTAGGAGGTTGTGTTGGAGCCAGGTAATGAGAAGATAGGAATCAACATCCGTGGCGGTAAACCAGATCCCAGGACCAGCAATGGAGGCGGCGGTTCTTGGAACTCAATTGCAGTGGACACAGCAGTGTACATATCGGGGGTTTTGCCAATGCAAATCGCAGCCTTGGACGGAAGACTTAGGGCGGGACAGAGAATCTTGTCAGTCAATGGAGTTCACATGATCAACAAAACCCACGAAGAAGCAGTGCAGACGCTTAGATCCAGAGACCAGTACGGATATCTTAGAATCACAGTCTGTGAAGGCTTCAGTAAAGGTCACGGATCTGAAATTAGCTCAGGAGCAATGCAGTCACTTGGTTTCGTGAAGACACAGCCAGACACTGGCGAAGACAGTAATGCAAGCAGTAGTTGCTCAGAAGATGAGAACCAGAGAGACAACGAGTCCTTAGATTCAGAAGATGACGTCATTCAGCAGGGAGACCAGAGGCATGGATTCCCAGGCAAGAATCAAAGGCACACGAAGAGCAGTAGCTCGGATAACAGTAGAATAGGCCGGCACACGAATCTTTTCAACTTGTCATGACAAAAAAACGTGAACTGATTTCAAATATTTGAGTTTTAGATCCTTAATTCAGAAAATTGATCTTTTGAAGTTGCATTGAAGCTCAACATACCATCTTCACGGCATTGAAGTGTAAAATTGCGTGGAAGTTTGAAAAAATGTTACTTCTGAAGTTCGATGTCTTCTGAAATTTGTTTCATTGGTCTTTGTCTGGTTTTTATTCAATGGTGCTAAATAGGACTTAGCTTTGCCTGCTTCACCAATTGTATCCCAAAAGTGGACTAATAGTTGAATTTGGCCAATAGTTATCGTGAAGACTCCCCGATATTTTAAAACCTTCCTTGTGAAACCTCCCCTTTATTTCCAATGAATCACCAAATTTAGATTTAAAATATTATATTTATCAGCTGATGTCTTGAAGCTTACCTTTTATTCACTTATTTTTTTCTTCAAATTTAAAATGTTGGTGAATATTTTTGTAATGAACTGAACGGAATGTTTCAAAATCATTCACTAAAGTTGTGTTAAAGATGGCTCTGCTAATTGGGGGATTAAATCATCTTGATTATCATTCTGTTCAGTTTTACAAACGTGCGGCAATTTTTGTATACCAGCGATCGAATATGAGTATCGTTCACTTGTCTTCATAAAAATCAACTTGTCAACATTGTTTTTGACATAATTAACGACAAATTTTAATGTTAATATGATCTCGAGGCAGTGAACGAAGTCTTGCTCTTCGGTTTTGTAGTCTAAATCCTTATTTGTTTGTAGTATCAGAATAAATTATTCAGCTCATTCTTATTTAATTTAGTCCAGGTCAAGTACTGAGTCCACCAGGTTTTATTTCAATAAAGCAAATCAGGAAAATTTTGAACAAAAGGAAAGAAGACTCAATTCTCATATTCTGGTCTAATGAAGAAGCAAATTTTAAGGTTCTGAGAATGATGCACACCATGTATTCAAGTCATCTATGAAAAATGATGAAGCAAGAATTAGAGGAGCAAGCGCTATTTACACAAGCAAAGCTTGTGTTATAGTATGCACTCTTTTTTCCAACCTAAGTCGCAAATATTGTTGCGACAAAATGTGTTCACTTAAAAAGTGTTCATTTTGATCAATAACCAGCTATTGAGTACAGCCAATGCTAAGGATATTAGCACAGACTATTATATTACTCCTCTTGGAAATAGCACTTTAGCTTCAAGGTATCATGGATCTGTAGCGTAGAGGTAGGAAAAGAGACCCGCAACAAAATAAGACGGTTCGAACCTCTGCAGGGTCGGATGTTTTTAATGAACTTTTTCGTATACTAGCTAAAATGCGTCCGCTCTATAAATTGAGGCACGTTAAATGGTACTTAGCAATTATTTAGTCTCATAATTGGCGTTCGTTATTTAAGAAATAATGCAGACTCCAAGTTTTTCTCTTCAGTTTTTCCCAATAGCGTTATCGGTCAAATTTTGGGTTGTGTATGCGAAGTGCAACTTCGCCTCTGTGTCAAAAATGTACTTTTATAGTTGGTTGCGGTGCCAACTACTTATAAAATTCTGACCACTATGTTCGGATAAATTTAGAAATTGTTTCAATAAACGTAGTGAAGACACATCGAATACTGATTTTTTTGTTTTTTAATTTCAGGGCTCAGGCTCAACTTTTTTCTGGACTTATGGATGTTTTTTGTTTTTCGCCAGTTAGATTAGTCATGAGATTAGAATGTCTTTTCAGTAGATCTTTTTTTTGAGATATGTGCACTTCAAATTTCCGTTCGAATTAAAATTTCTGTCCATTTGGAAACAACTCCGATTTTTAGAACGTCCTTTTTGTTTTCTTTCTTTTTTTCTGTTTGAATTTTTTGTTCCTGAAATTTTTTTGATTAATAGGCCTTAAGTAATTTTGGCTTGTTACGGTTCTAAATAGTTATGGCTAATAGCTTTCAACCGTTTCGGCTTAGTCGCTTGCAATTGCTTTTCCTGAAGCTTAAAAAGGGTTCTGCTTTCTCAAAAAAGACTGTCAATGATAAAACTGTTTGAAACTGACAATTATAAAACCTTTTTAAAATTGAATGAGCTTTTTGCGAAAATAAAAATCGAGAAAAAACTGCACTAATTCAAATTTTCGTCGCTTTCATTGACATTTTCACAAGTTTCTGTTGGTTATTACACTAGCCAGCTGGAGAGCGTAGTGTGGTAGTACGAATCTTCTTTTTTTCTAACCTAAAATCTTGGGAATAATCTTGATCTGTACCATTGAAATTTTATAGCATATGTTCTCTGCTTTATTTGTGGCTAGTGTTTATGATAGACTTTTGTCGCATCACCGCAACAAACAAAACGACACCAATTGAAAAAGAAAAGGAATTATGTTTTTTTTTAGTCTGGTCGGTTATTATGCACAGCATGCGGCTACCTTTGTTCTTTATGTATATGGCCTTAATTCTGTATTGACAGCAACCGGTTATCCTTAATATTTTTGATTATAGCGTTCAGTCTAGATCGATTTATGCAGTTCTATTAAACTTCTTTTCTTCTTTTACTTCCAGCAAAAAAATAATTTTTTTTTGATTTTTAGACATTCAGTTTCACTATTTTTGTTCGCAAAACTAAAAATGACAAGAAAAAATAGCCGAATATTTCAACCACCGAAAAATCGATTTTCAAGATTTTAGCGACGGTTTTCACTGTTAGAAAAAATAATGATGAAATACAAAAAATTCTTTCGATAACCAAGTCATAGTCCCGCTGCTCTTCACTAAGTTTGTCTTTCACTTAATTGTACACTCAGTTTTAGCGTGTTTCTCTAGCGTGTTTTTTATCACTCTCTTTAACATTGCTCTCATATTTCAACCCATCAAAAGCTTCATCAATGCGTCTTTTCAAAACTGGAATATTGGCTGGGCGGCTTTCTGTAGAGACTCGGCTTTTTATCTCAGACCAAAGAGATAAAAGCAGTCTTTTTCATTGTGTTAAAAATGTCTTTGATTAATGTTACGCTTGCGATATCAAATCGCTTGCAATATCAAATCGCTTGCGATATCAAATCGCTTGCGATATCAAATCGTTTGCGATATCAAATTAGCAAGCATTATCAAATCGGAATGGAGAATTTTTTCGGGTTATTAATTAGTTTAACGAAATCAATTGAATCACTTGACATGCTCAGTGCTCTCCACCTGAAATGCTCAATTTAAAAAAAAATTATAATTTAACTTCTGAGTGGGTACTAGTTAATACGGTAGTTTCAGAAGTGACTTGAAACTTTGTCAATTTTTTTGGAAGTCCTTTTTTTTGGCTCAACTGGTGTCTGCTCAAAGACTGTCGTACTTGTTTCCGCTTTGTTATTTGTGTTTGGTTGCTAAATTGAATTTCAAATGTCTTGCTGGGTAAGTTTGCTTAGAATTCCTGCTTGAGAAAAACAGGCATTATGAAAGTGAAAGTTTTTTTTTTATTTTTTTTGAGACGCTTTGGAAAATTTCGATATTTTTTTTGCAAAAATTCGGTGTTTTTCTTAAAAATCTGTTGTCGATTTTTTTTCTCAAAAAAGGGTTTCCATAGAAATAACGCCTACATTCTTGTGTGCCTGCATACTTCCCTTGTCTTTTTTGCTTTCCCCTTTTGTCTACAGCCTTTGAAAATGTCTGTGGGCGAATTTTTGATAATTTTTCTAAAAAAATTTTCTGTTTTTCAAAAACTAACCTACCAAAACAAGATTTTGGTTTCAATGAATAGAAAGGATTTGAAAAACACCTCTCCATAAAAGGCGCCCAAATTTTTTTATATACATAAAATAGTCGAGTTATAGATTTTTTGACCGTTTTGTGAATTTTTTTAGTTTTTTTTTTTAAAACTAACCTCCAAACCTGAAGCTTCAATGGAGAATCGAGTTTTGCAAAGTTCCTTTTCATACGCAACTTCGCCCAAAAAATTATGGCTACCGCATAAATCAAACTTTGGATTTTGACCGTTTTTTTAAAAACTTTTTGGCTTTTCTCGAGAACTACCCTGCCAAACCCAGGTTTTTGGGTTCAATCGAATTAACAGATTGGACGAATTTTTTCTACAGAAGCGGCTACTCTTTAATTTTTTGTAAAAGAAAGGTTAGTTCTCTGAGAAAATTTCAAAATCTCAAAAGTTTTCCTCAATTATTTAAAAGAGAAACAATTAAATTTAGGGTCAAAGTCCAGTTTTTGAAGTTATGTATTTTGTCCCGAATCTGTATGACAAATCCAAAAAGCATCAAATACTTATCAGCAGCTGTAGCTGAGCCCTGGAAGTCCTTCACTAAGACATACAAATTTTTTGGTTCACCCAGTTTTTTTCAGCCTTTTTATTATTTTTACTTATGCTTTTTTATAATTCTGTTGGATCGCAAGTGCTGCGAAGCTCCACATCACCTCTGTGTAATTAGATACTTTTTGTCCTGCAATTTTTTCGCAATTATTTGCATATTTTGCCCGTGAAATTTTTGAAATTGATTCAATAACTGAAATGACTTTTACTGGCTTTGTTAGTAGCACGCTGGATCTCCCCAAAGCTTAAGCGTATTTTCTGCAGATAACAAATATAAATCATGTAACGAAAATGCTTGGAATCTATCAAAAATGAATACGTTTATTGTTCTCTGGGATTTTCTGTATGTTTTAGGTGCCTCACTTTGCTCTATTAGAAAAGGCTGCTCTTCAAAATGGTTTTTGTTTTTGTTTAATCTGCTTTATTTTTTCTTCCATGAACCTTTAAAAGTGTGGCTTTTTTATATTGCATGTGAAAAGAACGGCCCTTAGTACTCGTTGTGTGATTTGGATTTCTAAGAGTTACCTACATGTAGCCAACCCATAATGGTTGTAGCGAATATCCAACCGATTTACCGTTCGTTTTCAATAATTCCAAACCACCTCCCTGGGTTTTTTCTTGAAAAAATCTGGGATCGTTATATTTAATCTGGCAAAGTTTATTGAGTTCTTCGAGTCATGCTCTCACTCCTCGTAGTTATCATAAGTTGGCACTCAAGATGCGTTAAGAAAAGTTTTGGGTGGCTTGAAAACTTTGCTGCAAATGGATGTAGAAAACCAGCTCCAAAGGGGTACTCTTTGGGTGATCAGTGAATCGAGTCTTCCCTATGTTTTTCCATAATGCGGCTTACGCTTCCTCAAGTTAGATTGGATATTCAAACATCTATTTCAAAATTTCCAAGATAAATTGTACCAACAAAAATAATAATTTACTTTCATTTTATGAATAATTTGACGGATGAAGCACCAATTTGGGAGATTATCAAGAGATCTTTCGATATGTCGAGTAACGTCTCCTCAACGTTTACAAGGTAATGATTTGAATTGGTTGATCATAATCAGAATCACAACAAAAATCGCATTTCTTAAAACACTGAATTGAAAAAAAAATCGATATTTAGCGTCTACTAGGTATGATTTGGGTTTGTTGATTATAATCAGAGTCACAAAGGAAGTCGCGTTTTTTAAAACACTGAATTGAAAATAATTTGATATTTAGCGTACTCAGAATAAAAGCGTCCCAATGTTTGTGCATACTCCGCTCGGTTATCTCTCGGACTTTCTATTAATCGTGGTGTTTTGGTTTCAAACTTCAATAAAGTTTTTCTTGCCATTTCTCGACTGAAACCCAAGTTGGGAATCCAGTGTTTCTCAATGGAAGCTAGATTCTCCATGTAACTGCGTTCGATCGAGCATCCACCAGCTAAAAATTTTCTGTCTAGTTTTTCTAACTGTTCCGTTAGGGCTCGGGTCGCGTTAGATAAAATATTACACTGGCTT